GTCTTCCTTTGCCGTTGGTTCACCTCCAATGGCCGGCGCGGCCGGCGCGCTGCAGCGGCGCACACGCTGATCCGATGGCAGGAGCCAGGAGCCAGGTGCTTTTCCTGGTCTCCCATGGGGTGCAGGGCCCAAGCACCTGGGCCATCCTCCACTGCACTCCCTGGCCACAGCAGAGGGCTGGCCTGGAAGAGGGGCAACCGGGACAGAATCCGGCGCCCCGACCGGGACTAGAACCCGGTGTGCTGGCGCCGCTAGGCGGAGGATTAGCCTAGTGAGCCGCGGCGCCGGCCTAAACCTATAAATCTTAAGGTATGGAGAACAAGGCTTACAAATGTTGGGTATATAATTGCTGAGCCATGCTTATACAAAATGACTGAAAACTTGGGTTCACTTTAGACACTTATCTGCTGTGTTATTATTAATAATTAAGCTCTTAGGAACATAGGTTCCTCAATACATAACTCTAATAAGGTTGGTTTCCCAAGAAAATTGTGAGGGCTAAGCAAGAACACAGATATAAGATAACAAAGCCAATGCTTGGAACACTGTAGATGTTCAATATGTTAATTCATTTCTCCCTCTGTTTATCCTCCATCCTCCCTGCCTTCCTCTTGTAATCTCTTCCCGAGCAAAAATCTGACAAAATCTATTTTATTCTAGCAAAGTTTATACATAATTATTCTATGTGACCATATTTATACAGCACATCTTTTCAAGCTATTGTATGTTTTGAAATAACCAAAGAAGAAGAAGAAAATTAAAGAACTGTCTATAGTGAAATGGACATGGGGAGGACTAGGGTCAGAGAATGCAGCAAGGATACTATGAAAGGACTTAAGGCCGGCGCTGTGGCTCACTAGGCTAATCCTCTGCCTACGGCGCCAGCACACCGGGTTCTAGTCCCGGTCAGGGCGCTGGATTCTGTCCCGGTTGCTCCTCTTCCAGGCCAGCTCTCTGCTGTGGCCTGGGAGTGCAGTGGAGGATGGCCCAAGTGCTTGGGCCCTGCACCCCATGGGAGACCAGGAGAAGTACCTGGCTCCTGCCATCGGATCAGTATGGTGCACCGGCCACAGCGGCCATTGGAGGGTAAACCAACGGCAAAGGAAGACCTTTCTCTCTGTTTCTCTCTCTCTCACTGTCCACTCTGCCTGTCCAAACAAAAAGGGGGGGGGTACTTAAAAAGAACTGGGATGGGGCAAGTGTTTGGTGCAACAGTAAAGACACTGCTTGGGAAACCAGCATCACATTTTGGTGTGCCTGGGTCCAAATCCAGTTCTGCTTTCGATTCCACCCTGAGATGCATTGGTGATAGTTCAAGTACTTGGTTCCCGGCCTGACCCAGTCCTCACTGATGTGGGGGCGTCTAGGAAGTAAATAATGGATACATGGTCTCACTCTCTCTGTCTCTCTCTCTCTCTCTCTCTCTCTCTCTCTGTGTGTCTCTCTCTCTCTCTTCTCCTCTCTTCCTTTCAAATAGAAACATTTATTTTTAAAAAGAACTGAGAATGGAGAGTTAATTCAGCTTGCACAGTGATGCTTCCTCTAGCTTCCCTTCCCTGTTCTTTCTGTTCCAGATCTTCCTGTTTTCAGCAAGTCTTCTTTAAAAGGTTCCTGAGAAGCAGAAAACTCAGGGCAATTTCAGTCTTTGAGAAGTCTCTTTTATGCGAATGGACTTAAAAAAATAAGTGGCTCCTAAGGGTGCTGCCTCCATGTCTGCTTCTGACTCTCACTAAAACACATTTTGGTCTGGGATGACACTCAAAGTACTTATCAGGCAGCCTGGGTAAGCAAGTCCTAAATGCCTTCAGTCAGTCAGGTACACACCTGGCTTCTGGGGAGTCCACGGGCAACCTTGGCCTTAAGACAAAAGAAGCACAGTGCCCAGGACCCACAACACTTTCAGGGGGATAATAAAAGTGCTTTGATTGTCCTTTAAAATAAGAACTTTTGGAAATGAAAACAGCAATGGGAATAAACTTAATGCCACTGAATTATATACTAAAAGTGGATTCAAATGGAAAATCTTGTGTACATTTCAGCATAATAAAAAAAAGCAGGTACTGTTTTGAAAAATGAATCCTATCAAATGATACAGAAACTCATGGCTAAGCCAGAAAATGATGCTGGTAGGATAATCTCCATAAACATCTCAGAGGAGAAACTGATGGCGGCTATTACACAGAGAAATTTTACATAGAATAGGATATGCAAGTCCAAAAATACCTCCCAGGAGAAAAAAATGAGCACTGCATGTGTTCGTTTTGTGTAATAACACTCATTGATACATTGGTAATAATTTGAGGAGAATTAATAATAACACAGTCACATCACATACCAACAAAAACCAGTAACACAGTCTTAAGAGACAAATATTCAGATATTATTTATACAGGGAGATGGATATCCTTTATAACTGTCTATGAAAATATAGCCTAAGAAAGAGATTTCTTCAATAAGCTTTGAATTTTAAAAAAGAATATAATCCATTTTGGGTTCTATTTCTCTTTATCTCAATTCAGCGATATATATATTTTTAAATATTTTTATTTATTTACTTGAAAGTCAGAGTTACACAGACAGGAGAGGCAGAAAGAGAGAAAGAGAGGTCTTCCATCTGCTGGTTCACTACTCCTCAGTAGGCTGCAATGGCCAGAGCTGCGCCGATCTGAAGCCAGGAGCCAGGAGCTTCTTCCAGGTCTCCCACATGGGTGCAGGGGCCCAAGGACTTGGGCCACCTTTCACTGCCTTCCCAGGAGGCGCCCATATGGGATGACAGCACTGCAGGCAGCGGCTTTACCCGCTATGCCACAGTGCTGGCCCCTTTCAGGGATATATTTTTAAAAATTTTTAGTGGAGGAAAGAGCCTCTGATGGCAAAAGAGTTTATGGCCCTGGAAAGTCATAATGCAAACCTGAGCCCAGGAGTCCAGGGAAGTGATGGGCCAGTACAGTCCTGGGAGACTTGAAATCACAACTAATCCAGTCAGCACGGAAATATCAACACACTAACAATGCTATGTCCATACCAGAGTTTAGAATCCTTGTGGTGGGACAGGCTAATCCCACCATGGTTGAGAATAATCATTAAACAAATACAGGTCCTTTCTTTAGCATGTAACAATACATGAACCCTTTGTGGTAAATTTGGAATGCACACCAATTTTTTTTAAAGATTTATTTATTTATTTGACAAAGTTACAGAGAGAGGTAAAGCCAGAGAGAGAGATCTTCTATCCGCTGGTTTGCTCCCCAGATGGCCGCAACAGCTGGAGCTGAGCCGATACGAAGCCAGGAGCCAGGAGCTTCTTCCGGGTCTCCCACATGGGTGCACGGGACCAAGGACTTGAGCCATCTTCTACTGCCATCCCAGGCCATAGCATAGAGCTGGATTGGAAGTGGAGCAGATGCTGGCACTGCAGGTCAGGGCTTTCACCCACTGTGCCATAGAACCAGCCCCACATCAATTTTAAAACATTGTCTATTTTAAAACATCCTCAGCTTTCTACCTCTGAATGAACTTGGTTATCCAAAAGTTTTTAGTTTATAAGCACTTACATGCCTTGAAAGAGCATTCAAAAGGCATCTCCACTTGGGAAAAAAAAATAGCACTTCACACTTGACACTGACCAATCAGATGTACCCAAACGGTAGTGGCACAGCCAGGAAAGACCATTAATCCCATGGTACTCCCTGAGATTCATGGTCTCTGGCCCCACCCTTCTCTCTGTTGCCTGTAGGTTGATTTCCAATACCCATATTAGAAATGTAGCCCACATTCTGGTTTACTATTCCTTCAAATTCTCATGTAAATGGATCTGATTCTACTCTAGAAGCCCATTCCCAAGGCCAAATGCTAGACTCTGTCTTTTCCAAGAATTGTCCTTCCTCTGAAATAATAAATCCAAAAACATCCTCTTTTATCATTATTTTCCATTCTTCCGGCTCCCTTCTAGCTCCTCCACTATTGTCATATTTATTCTTTATTTAAGTCATTCCTTTGATTCTTCAGCTTTCTGTGTTTGCAAGACCCTGACTGAACTCATTCCTTTGCTTAGATATGTTGTGTTCAGCCAACTATCTGCCATTATTCCTTCCTCTTTCTCTTACTTTAAAGGCTCATATGCCAGGGTAGGCATTAGTGCAGCCGTAAGATGCCACTTGGGATGCCCACTTCCCACAGCTGAGTGTCTTGTTTGAGTCCCAGCCCCATTTCCCATTTTAGCTTTCTGCTACTGTACACCCTGTAAGGCAGCATGAGACAGGCCAAGAACTTGGGTCCCACCTACCCACGTAGGAGACTTGGAATGAGTTCCAGTCTCCCGACTTCATCCTGGTCCAGCCTTTGCTCTTGCAGGCACTTGGCCAGTGAACCAATAGATGCAAGATATTCTCTCTGTGTGTGTCTCTCTCTCTCTTTCAAACAAAAATGAAAATGCCTTAAAACAATATAAAGGTCTACATGCCAAAAAGCCAGCCTTGGGCCAATCCTCTAATGTCCTCAATGTTCCATCTGGTCTGATTCTTGGGAGGTGATAGAAAAACCTTTAAGAGAAGAGGCCTTTAATAGAAATTGACACAAGTTATGATAAGCATACAGCTAAGATGTGATGTGCAGAAGAAACAGCTGTCCAGTTCTCTTTGGAATTAACTGCATGGATTCCAAATACTCTGTATTTCCTTGCATGTGACTAGAGCTGTGGGTTGATAATCAGCATTCCCCTGACTTCCTGTAGGTTATCTCACTTCATGTGAGTTAAGTAAACATAAGAGACCATAACAGAAAAATTAAAAAGTCTCAATTCATGTGCAACATTTGAAATAATATTCAAATATTTCAGATTTCCTAAAGAATTACATAACTGCTGAAGAGTGAATGGTGAACTGTTTAAGATAAGGCAACATGGTGAAGTCTCCAGCAAGGAAGCAAATATTTTCTTTCCTTTATAAATGTTTTGTGAATTAGACATTTGTTTATGCACATGTTAATATCTGTCACAGTTCAATCACTGGTCTGCTGTTATGTAACCATACACTGTAATATAATTTAAAACTTTTCTGTAGCTTACAACAATATAAGGCAAACATTGAATGTGACTGTTGGAAGCAGTGCTAAAAACATGCTTCAAAATCAATTACTTGGCTTAGAAGCCAGAAATGAAAGAATAAAACTCTGAAAATAAAGCCAAACTACTATTACATGCTGTGCTGTTAACAGAGAAACAATGTGAGAAATATTAGAAATAATACAGGAAATTTTAAAACCATTAATATATAATAACACAATGGCTAAGGATTTATATGCCCTGAGACTACATTTCACATTCTTTGTATTTATTATATTGAGTCTTTTGAATTTTATGAGTTTTTAATTAAGTGTCTTACAACCTTCCTTTTGTCCAAAGAAAAAGCCGAACCCCATACAAATGCATTTTAAAATAATATATATTTGTTTTATTTTGGTTTTTCTGACTGTAACATGAGCAGGGTTGTTAAATTGGAAAATGCTACAAAATGTGAAGATGAACACAATCACCTAGAGTCTCAGCATTTAAGGCCAACTTGAGTAGCGTTTTGAGCTTTTCTAGTTTTTTGTTTATATTGTCACATAATTCAGATAAAATTCTCTATCTTAATGTTTTCCTTAACCTTAAACAAGAATTTATTAAGACACAAAGGACTATCTATGGACTCTATAAATAATGCACAACATCTCATAATATAATTATAGCATATTTAATTAACACTACTGCTAATACTAAACATTTAGGTGGCTTTCAAATTTTGCCAGTACACAATTCAGTAATGAGTATATTTGGTATCAACTGTATTTCCAGTTTAAATTATTTCCCTTTGAGAAAGTTACCTAAGAGAAGAGTTATTAAGTCACATAGGATCATGACACATACTTCCAAATTCCATTCAATGATGATTAGAACAATTTACAATCTTCTTGGCAACATAAAAAAATTCCAGCTCACCCCATCTTTACTGCACCAAGCACTATTTTTACAAATATTGCCAGTTTCATTAGCAAAACAAAAAGAACTCATAGCTTCAATTCACATATTTTATTATTTGTAAATTTAGGAACTTTTTAAAATAAATTCATTTATTTGTTTGAAGGACAAATAAGGCTAGGCCCAGTTGTAGCCAGGAGTCAGGAACTCCAATCAGGTCTCCCACAAGGATGTCAGGGACCCAAGTGCTACCTCCCAAGGTATGCATTAGCAGGAAGCTGGATCCAAAGTAGAGGCGGGATTCCATACCAGGCACTCTGATATGAAATGTAGTATCCCAAGTGGCAGCTTAAACCACTCTGCCACAATGCCCACCCAACAAATTGAGTATTTTCCTGTAGTTATTATTTACAATTGCCTATATTCACATATATGTCTTTGCTCTTTTTCTAAGGTCATTAACATTTTTTCCATGTGATATGTGTGAGTCTTGTATGTTTCAAGCATACCAGTTCATATGCTATCATATCTGCCGTTTTTATGGCTTGAACCGATACCTACTTGGAATGCCAGCATTACACTCGGCAGCTTAACCTGCTATGCGACAATGCTGGCCCCAGTTGCAGTTTTCTTGAGACTAGGTTTAAAACTAGCAGAGAGTCACTTCTGCTATGTTCTCTCAATCAAATCAGCCACATTCAAGAGACAGAGGAACATTCACCTCTTGATGGGGAAGTAGCTAGGGCAAACAAAGAGATCAGCCAGCTTTGGAGAAGTATGACTGTGTTTTCCTTTATTAAGCTTGGCACAATTTTCCTCCTAAAAGCATTTTATGTGACTGATGTTGTGGCACAGCAGGTTAAACAACATCTGTGACACCAGCAACACTTACGAGCACCATTTCAAGTGTCAGCTTCTCCACTTCCATCCATCTCCCTGCTAATGCACCTGGGAAAGCAGCAGAAGATGGTCCAAATGGTTGGGTCCCTGCTACCCACATGGGAGTTCCTGGCTCCTGGCGTTGATCTGGTCCAGCTTCAGCACTTGCAACCATTTGGGGAGTGAACCAGCAGATGGAAGATATTCTCTCTCTCTCTCTCTCTCTCTCTCTCTCTGTGTGTGTGTGTGTGTATGTAATCTGCCCTTTAAATAAATAAAATTTTTTAAAACAGCATTTGAAATTTGTGTTTCCATAGTAATTTGCATGTTTTCTTCTCTTTTACAACTTACTGATTAGTGTTGATACTAAGGAAAGCTATTGTCTCAATGATTCTAATTATTTCTCAGTTTAATATCCTGGAAGTCCTAAGAAGATAATCATCTTGTCACAAAAATAAATAGGACTTTTCAAGTGTTCTTCATCAGTAGTTAAATCTTTTATTTCTATCTCATGCGTATTATACTTAAGACTTTCAGAACAATGCTATCAGGAAGCATCGTTGTTTTGTTTCTGTTGCAAATTTTGTGGGTTTTTTTCTTATTTTTTTTTATTTAGTTGAAAGAGACAGAGACAGAAAGAGACAAAGAAAGGGATGTTCCATCTCCTGGTTCACTCCCCATATGCTCCCAACGGCTAGGGCTCAGTCAAACCAAAGCCAGGAGATCAGAACTTGATTCACATCTGTCGCATAGATAGTAGGGACCCAAGTACTAGAGCCTTCATCTGCTGCCTCCCAGTGTGTGCATTAGCAGGAAGCTGGATCAGAAATGGAGTGGGCTGGCGCCACGGCTCACTAGGCTAATTCTCCACCTTGCAGTGCTGGCACACCGGGTTCTAGTCCCAGTAAGGGCGCTGGATTCTGTCCCGGTTGCCCCTCTTCCAGGCCAGCTCTCTGCTGTGGCCAGGGAGTGCAGTGGAGGATGGCCCAAGTGCTTGGGCCCTGCACCCCATGGGAGACCAGGGTAAGTACCTGGCTCCTGCCATCGGATCAGCGCAGTGCGCCGGCCGCAGCGCGCCAGCCGTGGCAGCCATTGGAGGGTGAACCAACGGCAAAGGAAGGCCTTTCTCTCTGTCTCTCTCTCTCACTGCCCACTCTGCCTGTCAAAAAATAAAAAAAAAGAAAAGAAAAGAAATGGAGTGGGACTTAAACCCATGCACTCTGATATGGGATGTGGGTATCCCAAATGTCATCTTAACTGCTCTACCAAATGCCTGCCACTGAACAATTTTTAAAGTATAAATATATTCAAGTTATCAATAGTTATATGTATATATTTCCCAGAGTTAAATTAATTCACATACTTTTATCAGGCAATGTAATACAAATAAATATAAAAGTGGGTTCTCATTTCCAATTAATTGAATGCAGGGTAAGGGACAATAAAACAAGACAACAAAGATAATGAATAATGTTTTGGATACTGCAATATGTTCTCCCAAAAATGTATAAATTTCCAAATATAAATCATAACCAGAGATTGGATTAA